ATTGTCAAGAAAATATTTATACTATTGATAATTGATAAGCATATAATTATACTTTTAATGAATTTTGCATATAATTACTAGCATGGACTTCCATATTTAATAATGCATAACTATTGATAAGTTTTTCTCCATATAGTAAATATTTATATATTTTTTATTAAAAATGAAAATGATTTGGTTTCGGGGCAGACACCTTAATAACCATAATCGGATCCAAAATCGAAAAATTTACCCCACAATTACCAATAACCGTAAAATACCCAAAATTTAATCTCCCAAACCAAACCATTTGGATTCGTTATTTGCGGGGATCAGATTTGACAGGTTAAATTATCATCTTTGATCAGATACTACAGACAACAAAGAAGACAACACTATCGAGGATACCTCAGGTCTAACAACTATATACATGCTACAACCTGAAGTTTGTAACGTTTGACATGTAGTAAGCATTTATAAGTTTAAGCTTCTTGGAGGTCAATGTTTAGTGAACTTATTTAGCAGAGAAGCACCTGTATATCTATCACGTGTCCAACATGCGTAGCATGAGACCTTGCTAACCTTAATGTGATATACACCGTCATTTCCGGGATAATGAATGTCCTAGTTGGCTTTCCAAATGGCTAGGAACTTAGTTTAAGGACTTATTGGTGATTATGGAATACAAGTCTCCCTATCATAACCTCGTTTATGACATTGCTTCCATACCTTAAGTCTTATGGACTCATTCATAGTATATTATCTCCATAATATAAAGTCAAACTCCTAAATGAATTAATCTTGCCCGATTATTAGTTAATTAAAATTAGTTGTTACATAATATTCAATATTACGAAATTTGCTTGTAGAGCACATGCATAAACAATTCAACCCCTTTCTATAGGCATTGAGTGAGACCCAAATGTCTAGGGCTTTTAATTTTCTCACCGCCCCATTATTCAATGGGCTTAACACGTAGGTACGACCTATCAGCTATTCCTCTATTGTCTACTTGACATGTGGAAAAGAAGTGATATTTACACAGTACTACTTACATGGTTTTTCAGGTCAACGCGTCTCGAGCACAGCCCTCATCAAAGAATGGTTGGAAAGCACATTACCCATGCATTAGGCCTGTTAGTATTTATGTCCCTTTATAGACTTCTTTTCCCCATCACTGGCCAATGCATGGCTCGGAGCTGACGCCTAGACAGACCTGTCTTTTGAGCTCCGGTGCTAGAAAGTTATTAGGTCCTCCAATTGGCTTAAGTGATTGGAAAGTACTTTAAGTTCCATGTTCATCTCTTCTTGTCGATAGACAAACCATGACTAGGATCGATCGTTTTATGACAATTGTCTTTCATTCTCATGATGGTGCTTTGTCATCTGAATTCATTCGACTGACTTGTAGGCCCAAGGTCTTTGATCTCCTATTCCTTTAGTGTGCTCTGTCAAGGTCCATTTGTTAAGCCAAATAACTATATATTATTTTAATGGGTTTAAAATGATCATGCATTAACAATATGTATTTATAGCTGGCGGTGCCATTCATACACTTATTTTTACTTCTCATACATCCCTTTTTAACTTTGTCATTTGATATTCTTCAAGTCATTCAAACCGACGACCTGAAATATAGAGAGGTGTATGGGAGTTAAAAAATGATGTGTAGATAGCACCACCCATTTATAAATACATAATTGTGAAATAAACATGACACCATTCTAGAAGGGGTAATGCTATCCGACGGTTACGGATGAGTAAAAACAAACTCAGGAAACAATCTAACGCTAGTGGATAATATAGTACAATCTAACTAGAATAGATACTATACCAACACCCTAACATAAGAGTAAACCAAATTGCTAACTAGTTAAGTTTTTCAGTAGATTTATCTATAAAAGTAAGCATAATGAACTTTAGCAATATCTCTAGGGCTGGCATATGAAGTTATGTGGTGAGGGTATACAACACAGAGTTCATAAATGACAAATTAAACACACAATGATTCTTTCAACCCTATGCATTAAGTTTGTTTAACATCTCTAATGAGTATTTTTAAGTCATGACTGATGTGGCATTTTGAAGCACACTATCAAATTTTATTCTATTCCAACTGGTATGTTAGTTATTATATTATTATCATATAGGACCCACATTAAAATAAAACAAACATTAAAACTATTTTTAAAATTTTATATTCTAGTGGATGATGGGACCCAACAAATTAATAATATGAAGTTTTAACGAAAAGTCTACGGTATTGTTCACCTTAATGAAAAACCACATTTTTACACTAAAAAGTCAATCATGATACTATTCATTTTACTCTTTATTTTGTCCTTATCATTAAAACTCAAAGTTTTCAAACCCTTTTAATTAGTTTTCCTTTAATAATAATCAAATTGCAATTTTTTTTTTAGAAAGAATAAAATTGCAATTAAAACAGTTGCATCAAAATTAATGCTAATCTAGATCACCTAAAATTTAGTTTGATTTGAAACAATGTTTACCGTAAAAAACGACTACTTAGCATTCTATCTAAAATTTGGGGATGCTCTAAATCTAGGGGTGGTTCGGTATGGGATCCCATATCGAAACCCTTGTCCCAATTTCCAAACCGAAATTTTCGGGAATACCAAATTCAATACCAATCCCAAACCAAATTTTCGGGAATCCCAATTTTCGGGAATCCCGAAATAATTTCGGGATTTCCGGACAAATCGGGAATCCCAAAATGCTTTTGGGCTTTTGGATTAAAATTTGACATATTATGCTTTTGGGCTAAAATTTGACATATTATGTTTTTGGGCCCAAACTGCCAACTTGTTATTTCTATTAATTTGCCCACTGCCCACTGCACAAATTTGACATAGTTTCATACATTAAGTTTCAATCTACCCACTGCCAATTTGTGCACAAAGTTTCAATAATAACAAAGTTTCAATCTGCCCACTACACATGCATCATGCATGCAATAAAAATAAATTAGGTACCAAACCCAAAAGCAAAAATAATAGTTACAAGCCAAGGTTTTAAAATAAGTAAAGTAACAAACTCAAAAGCAAAAATAATAGTTATAAGCCAAGCTGGGTGGTGATTCTGGTGAAGGAAGGCTGGTGGCACAGTGGCTGCGCTTCAAGCTCTTGATGGAACGGAAGTGAAAATTGAAATGGGGGATTTGACCTAAAAACAAATGAACGGCACAAATTAAATCTAAAACAATGAACGGTTGAAATAATTCTCTTATAATTAAAAAATAATATATATAATATTTATTTCGGTTCGGTATGGGAATACCGAAAAAATGGAGATGCAATACCAAATCCCGTACCGAAAATTTCGGTTTGGTTCGGGATGACATACCGAAAATTTCAGGAATTTTGGTTTGGGATTTTTTTGGTTTGGGATCGGGATTTTTTTGGTTTGGTTTGGGATTTTTGGGATTTTTTTCCAGCCCTATCTAAATCCACATATAGATATACCCTATTGTCTTTTCTGGTCAACCGAAATCCACCATACCTTAAAAATGTTGGCAAACTATGTGACACACCCCAACCTAGGAAGGTCGAAGCGTGTTGGCCATCACCGTGAGGTGACATAACCATAAGGATAAGTGATGTGAAAAAGTGAATAAATTTAAAACTAATCAGAACTAATTATACTAAACAGTGAAAGAGTGCGCAATTGTGGGAGTAACCCACTACAATTATTCAGAGCCAATCCCTGGCCAGAAGTGTGCAGACGTGGACGTCGGGCCCCTAAGGGGGGGTGGATTGTAAGATCCCACATCGCCCAGGGAAGAGGATCCTCTATGCTTTATATGTACATGCCCACATCCATATAGCACAAGGCCTTTTGGGAACTCAGTGGCTTCGGATTCTATCGAAACTCTGAATTTAAGCGAGATTGGGTGAGAGCAATCCCAGGTTGGGTGACCCACTGGGAAGTTACTCGTGAGTTCCCAGAAACAAAACCGTGAGGGCATGGTTGGGGCCCAAAGCGGACAATATCGTGCTACGTCGGAGTCGAGCTTGGGATGTGGTAGAGCCCGGGTCGGGATGTGACATATGGATCATAGACGAATGACATGGATTTATAGTGCATGCGCCAAACCATATATCTATACTATTATCAAGAAAACCCTCCTTGTCAACCTTTTTCCCTTGTTTTTTTTATTTTATCCTCACTTTTGATACACACTATTGACAAAAGGAGGGTAAAATAGTAATTTTGTACCTTTTGACAAAATGACAATCATATCCCTATTTTTCCTATTTTACCCTTTTTTATACTTGTTTTTCCAATTTTACCCTCACTTTTGATACACAATATTTACATAAAGAGGACAAAACAGTAATTATGCAATATTTCTCACTTTTTATATACAATATTTACATAAAGAAGACAAAACAGTAATTATGTAATATTAAAAAAATGTGCACTTATTAAGAGAAATTGTTCGCACACATATAAAATATGTGCTTTCTGCTAGTATACATGATGGTTTATAGAGGAAGAAGCTAATTGGTAGGTCATCTCCCAAGGCCTTTGTTTTACTTTAACATTTAGATCTCCTGAAAATTTGTCTCTTGCATTCTCTTCACATGTGCAAATCATATATAATAAGGCCTTCAAATAGCACACATAAAACAATGTATGAAAGACACAATAGAAAACTACCACAACTAACAAGTTACCCCAAGAGAAAAATGCCACTAGTTTCGGAAATTTAAAAGTTGAAACGCGTGAGAATTAGACTAGTGCAAAGGTCAAAGGGTCAACTTCAGATTAAATATATATATAAACAAGAATGAAGGATTTGTATGTTTGTGCCGTGGAAGATGTCTCTCTCTCTCTCTCTCTCTCTCACGCTAGAATTATTAATACTAATTGTTTATTAACTTTGAGTCTTGAGTCTTGGCCGCGTTCGATCAAAGGCACAGTAGAATGCGGCCACTTTTTCTTCTTTAGTAATTTAGTCAGTCCAATCCCCTTTTTCAGTCTCTCTCTCTCTCTCTCTCTCTCTCTCTCTCTCTCTCTCGCTCTTCCCCCTCGTCTATATATCAAACCCTTCTTCTCATGACTTGTAATCCCCAAGCTAAGGAAATCCTAACAAGGTCAACTATTCTGTACACTGCACACTAAATCCCAAACTAATCCGTATTCTTTGTCTCCCAGCTCAAACCAGACAAAAGGAAATGGATATTAATAATGTTCATGATCAGATGAGATCAGCAGGTTATGGCTCATTAGCAGCAGCAGCAACTCATGATCAACCAATTGAAGGACTGGATTTAAGAAAAGGCCCATGGACAGCCGAGGAAGACTCCATTCTCAACAATTACGTCAACATCCATGGTGAAGGTCACTGGAATTCCTTGGCTTGCCATGCAGGTACATATTCTCTTCCGACCCTCTTCCAAGACAGTGAAGGAAAATACCGCTTACCAATAACTGTTTAGTTAGTCATGGAGTTGTCGTATGGACTATCTACCATTTCTTCCTTTTAAGCCTTTGAATAAACAGAATTCGTTATTAATTATTTTGGAAAGTAATTTACATGCATCATAGATTAAAGCTATATATAGTTACCAATCCTTCATTTTTAAAATTCTAGGGAAGATTTATGCCTGGTCAATTCTGATCACTATGAATTTTGTCAAAGTACTAATATGATAATACATGGCCATGCAGGTCTAAAACGAACTGGCAAAAGCTGCAGATTAAGGTGGTTAAACTACTTGCGACCAAATGTTCAACGTGGAAACATAACTCTCCAAGAACAACTTATAATTCTTCAACTTCATTCCCGCTGGGGCAACAGGTACATATGTATACATATATATGTGTGTATGATATATTTCTATTAATACACGTATATCGTTGTTTCTAATCTTCTGTGTGTTTTGTTTTAATGGCACAATTAAATAATTAGGTGGTCCAAGATAGCCGAATACTTGCCCGGTAGAACAGACAATGAGATAAAGAACTATTGGAGAACAAGAGTGCAGAAGCAAGCAAAACAGCTCAAGTGTGACGTTAACAGCAAACAATTCCAAGACGCCATGCGTTACATCTGGATTCCCCGTCTAATTGAACGGATCGGGTCCTTGCCCGAAGCTGTACCAGATCAACCCAGTACTTGTATCACTACGACATCTGAGTCTGAGTGTCAGTACTTGGTTGATCCTAATTTCGTGCCTGAAACCTCTGGCAGTACTTCATCAGACTCATATGATCAGGTTCAAGTTTGTTCAATTCCCACCGACCCAACTAGCAGTGGTGATGAATTCATGACTTATCCATGCAGCGGTCAATATGGTTCAGAAAACGGGTCGGGTTATAGTAAAAATGGCAATTCAGATATTCATGGCTTTGAGCAAAGCAATTATTGGTCAACCGGTGGGGACACATCAGTGGAGAACTTGTGGACTGAAGAGAATATATGGTTCTTGCAACAGCAGCTTAGTGATGACTAATATTGGTGAATGGATCGAGCCATCGAGGACTAGTTTGTTTACGTGACGCATGGGTGATTCCATGACTTAATTGTAGTAGTAAAGTTGAGTTTACAAACTTTTGTTGCACGCATTCTCAAAGTAGAGGAAGACCATGAATTTTTTGTCAAATAGCATAAATGATCAGTTTTTTGAGATTTAATTGTAAAAATAATCAGTGTTTATTACGTCGCCATTATATCATCGTTGAGTCATCAATATATAATTAATATATTATGGTGATAAGTTTGTTGGAAGATAGCCACTATGGTTAAAAAAAAAAACAAGGATTTAAGCGCCTGCGGTGAAGTCTGTTAGGATTTGTGCCCAAAATTGAAAATTCCGCCAACTTTATGTTGATTATTAGCACATGAGCCAGCCTAACGTGTTAACAATTAACGAAGAGTTCCATTTTAGACTAATATGTGTACGGAAAGTTCCATTTTAACTTAATATGTGTAGCTCACGTGCTAATAATTAACAGAAAGTTGATGGAATTTTCAATTTTGGGCATAAATCCTAGTTTTTTTTTACCATATGAGCTATCTTTCAACTACTGTATCACCACGGAGACTAATAATCCAATTAGGCCAAACTAATAATTGCATTTTTTTTCTTTTTCTTTTTGTTTTGAGTTGAGGTTAATTTTAGGCAAATGAGGCTGCCCAGTTTTAGCATGTAAAGGAACTAATCTTGTGTTGCAGACTATGACCAAACATTTTTTTCGAATGATAGGTATCTTATTAGTTAAATACGAATGAATTACACTAATCCCGGTTGTCAAAATGTTGAAAAGCCACGCTGAAATCTCTCACGACCACGACAACTTCCCCTCTAATAAGGAATGAGATCAAAGGTGATGCTGAATGAAAAATTTGGCAAAACTACGATCATTTTGAAATTAAAAGGTATGGCTGCTATATTAAAGAAGAGGAGTTATAAGAAGAAAAGGGGTCCATGATTTTGACGTTTCACATTATTTTTGTAAGTCGTTTAATTTGTGGAGCCAAATTGTCTGCCCTCCTATTTGGATGCCTTTTTTATCTCCTTTTATTTTGTGTGGTCACGGTTAAGCCATGTCAACATTTTATATTGATTTTTTTTATAACATTAATAAGATAAAAAACAATAAGAATATAAAATGTTGACGTAACTTAACCATGACCGCATAAATAAAAACGATGAAAGAAGTATTCAAACAGGAGAGCAGACAATCTGCCTACTTAATTTGTAACTTGCGATGCTCTGGAAAATACGGTGGGGACTGCTATGCTTGTGCAACTGATAAGTACAGATTTTACAGAAAGTAAACGTGAGAATGCTTTTGACGCTAGAATGTATTAAAAAAAATTAGTAAGACTTTGGCACAGACTGTGAGGAGTCTTGAAAGGTTAATTTGGATTTAAGCACTAACGGCCGCAACCCTTGAAGTTGAAGCACGTTTGGACCTTATTTAAGTCCAGTATATCATACATAAATAAGACGGGTCAACTAATTAGTTAGCCTTAATCCATTGCATGTTTTGCAAATTCTTCTCAATTGGAATATAATAAGACAACTAACCAGGCAAGGATAGTATAATATTATATAATACATGTCATTAGCACGCATTTTCTTGGTTGTAATGATCATGTATCACTCTTATTAGATTCACTGTTATTGGCCAAAAGTCCATCTGCCGTCAAATTCAACACGGATGTATATCGGTCAACTATACATTTTCTTCCAGAAGAATGTTTTTTGTTAATTTTATACTCGACATATGATGAGCAGCTATTAGCCTGTGGGTTGACAATGTTAGTAGAAGAAAATTGGAATAGAATTTAGAGATGATTTCCAAAATGGTAGCAGCCAGAATGGACATATTGACGGAAAATGATATCACAAATACAAAACTTCAATAACCTATCATAAAGATAGGTGGATATGACACTATACAAAAAATGACACATATTTTGTTAGAAGTTAATACTCCGAATGGCGTGACTATTTAGTTATATTTTCTCCAACTTACAAGTTTGAAGGAGGAGGTTCTCTTCGATATTATATCATGAAGATGACAGATGCTGTTGAGAAGCTTAACTCCAGGGGTGTTAGCATTGGAGAAAAGCAACTGATTTTTATGATCCTACAAGTCTTGCCTAACATGTTCAGTCAACTGAAGATATCCTACAACACTTAGGACAAATCTTGGACAATGGATAAATTGATTGCTCAATGTGTACAATAAAAGAACTGCTAAAGTAAGAAAATGGCAAAGAAGTTGAAGCTGCCAACTTTATGCAAGCTGCCAAAGGGAGGAAAGAGACCAATGCTACTTCTAGTAAAGCTTCTAAACTTACTAAGCATGCTAATAAGTCTGGTATGTATACTAAAAATTCTAATTCCTCTAAATCTAACAATCTTAGGATTATGACTTGCAAAACCAAAGATCACTGTAGGAAAGATTGTGAAACTCAAACTGTCTTCTCGATTTGTTTTCCAACTTAATGATGTTCTTTATTTGCCTGGCATGAAAAGAAATTTGGTTTCTTCTTCAAAGTTAGTCAAACAAGGTTTTTTTTTCTTTCTTGGTGATGATGCTTGTGTCAAATTTTTCCAAAATGGCTCACTTGACCTAGTTCTAGGCAAAGCTTACTTGAATGATGATTTTATGAAAATTTCATAACATTGTAGAAAACAAACACATGCTTGTTTTGAATACAACTACTAAAAATATGCATGATTTTGATCATGCTTACATGTTATGGCATAAGAGACTACGTAATATCTCAAAAGAAAGAGTTCTTCATCTGGCAAAAATAAATTTGATTCCCTCTTTCAATTTCAAAATTGCGTTCGATTGTGTTGATTGTATCATAGGTAAATTGACAAATGTTAGCATGTTATCTGCTAAAAGAAGTCGTTTTAAAATCTTTAAAAGTGAGGTTGATAAACAATTGAACCTAGTAATTAAGATTATTAGATCATATAAGGAAGAAGAATATTTTGGCAAGTATATTGAAGCTACGAATAGAAAGGTCATTTTGCATACTTTCTTGAGAAACAAGGTACAGTGGCACAATATACCACAACTTCCATAACATAATAGAGTAGCAGAGAGAAGAAATCTCTAGTAGCGATGGTTAGAAATATGATTTCAAGGTCCAAGGTGCATGTTTTTCTCTGGGGAGAGTCTTTGAATACTGCAAACTGCATATTGAACAAAGTTCCGTCAAAGGTTGTACCAAAGGCACCCTTTGAGATGTGGAATGGAAGAAGACCAAGTTTTGACTACTCTCATATTTAGGGATGCAAAGTTGAATCAAGATTTTAACAATCCAAATGAAAAGAAACTTGATTCAAGAACCACCTCTTGTTATTTCATTAGATACTCAGAGAAGTCAAAAGGTTTTAAGTTTTATTATCCACAAGTTCATACAAGAATTCAAGAAACACATAATGCTATTTTTCTTGAGGATGAAGATGTGTTGATTGGGTTCCAGATGTTTTTTTTTTTTTTTTTTTTTTTTTTTTTTTAAAGAAATTGATCAATCTGAAAATATAATGGTTTATCTCCATTGAACTATAATTACATATCTATGTTGCCTCTAAGGAAGGAACAAGATCAGGAGATGAAGGAGTCTAAGGAAGGAACATAAATCCAAATTGCAACAGAACAACTCAATATGTCAACTGAACATCAGATTGAGGTTGTTCAGGAGACTGAACAAACACCAATTTTTTAGTCAACTTTGAGGAAATCTAGCAAGGAAACCGGCCATTTCAATAGATTATGTATGTTTTCAAGAAGTTGAAAATGATATAGGTGACATTGATGATCATATAACCTATCTGTATGCAATGAACAGTCCTCAAGTAATTTTATAGCAAAAGGCAATAGAAGAAGTATTAGAATCAAAGTTTAAAAATAATGTTTTGGCTTTGGTAGATTCAACTCTAAGAATTAAACCCATAGGCTACAAATGAAATTATAAAACTAAAAAAAAAAATGTTGCACGAAGGATAGAAAGGTACAAGGCAAAGACAAGGTATTGACTACAATGATACCTTTTCACCTGTTTCTTCAAGGATTGTATGAGAATGGTAATGGCTTTGACAGCTCACTTTCATTCGGAATTGCATCAAATGAACTGTTAAAATTGCTTATTTAAATGATGAGTTACAAGAAGACATTTTCACAAGGCAACCTACTAGATTTGTTGAAAGAGGGGAAGGAGAATATGGTTTGCAACCTTGAGTTCAGGGATTAAAATTCATACGGCTTTGTTGAGAACAAGTTGGGTGATTACATTTATCTCGAGTTCAGGGATCAAAATTCATCTTTCTAGTATTGTATGTTGATGATATCATGCTTGCAAGTTTAGATTTTTAACTTTTGAAGGAAACAAAGGCCATTATGAGTACTAGTTTTGAAATGAACAATCTTGAAGAGGCACACTACGTTCTGGGAATTGAAATTTCGAGAGATGGACGGAGAAAACTTCTTGTTCTATCCCAAAAGATTTACATTGAAAAGTGTTGACCATGTTTTATATGGAGAATTGCAACAAGGCATATATTCCAATAAACAAAGGAGATAAATTCTCGGGTGATCAATATCCCAAGTGCGAGCCATATGTTTCATTAGTTGGCAGCCTTATGTACGCAAACGAATGCACCAGACTAGATATAACCTTTATAGTTGGCTTGTTGGGAAGATTTCAATCAAATCAAGGTGAAGCTCATTAGGTGGCTGCAAAGAAGATTTTAAGGTATTTGCAAATAGCAAATGGCTTTATACTAGTGTATGGTTGAGATGACTCATTGGAAATAGGTGGTTTTACCAACTCTGATCTTGCTGGAGATACAAATGACATAAAGTACCGGAGGCCATGTTTTCATAATTAATGGAGGTTCTATTTCATGGAAGAGTTCTAAGCAAACTTTAGTGATAACATTACAACACAAGAGTTGTTTAGTGATAAAAAATTTCCCTCGCTAATAGTCGTAATTTAGTTGCTGTAAGTTTTTAGCAAGGAAATTATTTCTTTGCTCGTTCCTTGTAGTAGGTTCGTAAGGAATGTGTACAGTGAGAAATTTTTTCCTCACCTAAATGATACAGCGAGAGTGGAACTTATTCTCGTGGTGGTGTTGGAGTGGCAAAAACTTCTTGCTAAAGGGGTAGGAATGTGGTCGCCAAAGTCTTTTGGCAAC